AAGTTGTGGAGTCTCTTTTCCGCACGTCAAAGGAAAAGGTCAGAAAATATCCAGGATATAAAACAATATTGAAAAATGACAAACTGATATTATGTCTCCAGCTGAAGTACTATATTTGGCTTCTGCCATTTCAAAAACCAGATTAAATAAAGAGAACATATGCAGAGGTGAGCAACTAAATTATTAAAATTGTGGGATTTAGAGCTAAAATTTCTTAAGCTGGAGTTCAGAGGAATATGAGTGGGCACGAGACAAGTCCGTGGCTATAAAACAGGACATGCTGTAGAGCAGGAGAAACCGGGCCATGTTTCTTGTTCCCTGTAACCCAGTGGCGCTCAGCAAAACTCATGTTCTCTGCAGCGTATATCAAATGCGAACAAATTAAGACAGACAATGCAGTCTAATACCGTGAATTAGGTAACTCGGGGAACTCAGAAAGTGAAAGAAAGCTAAGCCTCAGTCACAGGCTGAGCCACGCCGTGCTACTGCTACGAGCCCTACAGCCGAGCACCCAACCACTTCTGACAGGGCGAGTTGTTCCCTCCGTTCTTCCTCCATCTCCTGCTGGGGACAGTCCCCTCTCCCCCCGGCCCCCTCCCGGCTCTCTGTGCTGCTTGGCCACTGCTAAGGGCCGTGCTCCCCTCAGGGGCCGGCCTGCTCCGGGCTGGGGGTCGTGGAGGCCTTGAGCAGGACAGAAGGGAGACGTGAGGGGTTGCAACAGCTTTAAAGATAGAATGGTAGATGTCGTTTCCTAGTCAAGGCTACCAACCTCCAGGCACGGTTCATTGCTCACCTGGGCGCTTTCTTTTTATGCAACAATAAAGATCTTTTTAATTATTCTATCCAAAGTGATAGAAAAATAGTACTAAATATTTTCTAATCACTAGAGGGGCCTTTACAGTGATACTAGTTTGTGACTTTCAATGTGACAGTTTTCTCAAATTTATAGTTTTCTTACATTAAGGCCAGGCTGGATGAGGCTTTGAGCAACCTGTTCTAGTGGAAGGTGTCCCTGCTGATGGCAGGGGGGTTGGAACTAGATGACCTTTAAGGTCCCTTCCAATCCAAACCATTCTACGATTCTGTGATTCTATGATAGTTTAATAGTTAATATCGCAGGCAGTTGCAGTATGGTAACTGCAACATTTTAAATATTCAGGCTAAATACGAGAGCATACTCTCATGCATTTAAGATGCTCTAAAGAGGCTTTTAAGAGCGATGACTGTATTCACAAACTGAGGATCTGACCTGTGGAGAAGCCAGAACATTGCAATACTTTATTTTATAACACTCTGCATGAAAGGGTTCTAATCCTCTATCATTTACTTTGAGTGTCCACCCTTCAGTAACCTGTTCTTACTAATAAAAAATGAACCAAATGAAGTAAGATGTTGATCTAGGATCCCATAGAAAAGGCCTTGATATTGTTCTCTTTCATTAACAATTAGGAATTAAATAGAATGTTGATAAAACAATTAACTTCTTTTTTATGTCCTTCTAGTTCTGCACTTGTTTCTAAAATGGCCAAGCAAAATTCTCCATCACTAATTGAAGTCGTAAAACAAGTTGCAGAGCAGCAGCATTCTCAAGCATCAGAGATAGAAAAAAGCAAAACAGTTCTTTTCCAACTGCAGGTAATAAGCCTTGTTTGGACTAGTTTAATAAATATAATTTTTTCATTAGATGAGGGAATTATTCCCATGAAAAAGAGAAACTGATGGCACTTCATTATTTTCTGGGCATTTGCATTTAAGTGTAAGGTAGCTGTTCTGTTCCTGTGTGTGTCATTTAGACTTAGGCAAACCTGTGTGTGTGTATAGTTATTTGTAAGGCTGCAACACAGCTAAGACTTCACTAAAGTAGGTTATAGCAGAAGCTTTAGGGTGTTTTTTTTTTTAAAAAAAAACCCAACCAAACCCCTAAAACCACTGAGAGAGTAAACCCACAAAAACTCAATAAAAAGTTAGAGGTCTGTGAATTTTTCATGGTGATTTCCTAAGAAACTATCGGAAAAGAAAAAACTATTTTAAAAGCATCCTTTTTGGCAGATTTTCAGGAGACTCTATATTTTTTTCTTAACATCTTTTTCGTACAAATACTTTTTTCTGTGTACTTGAAGTGGGTGTCCTAAATAGTCATTAAATTAGTAATATTTTGTAGAACTTTGGTACATGTAGTTTTCATGAAGACTACGTAATAATTTCTGTTCCAATCTCTCACAGAACTTATTAAGTTTTCAATTATTATTTAGCATTTGAAACCAAATTTCTATTGAGAGACTTACATTTAAGTCTGAGGAAAGATACAATAACATTCGGGCATTTTTGAGCATGGGAGAATGCAAATAGAAATAACAGAGTTCTAATTATAACATCTGTGAATAGTTCAACAACTGAAATAATTGAGGTTTGAAATTTTGTATGAAGATAACTTCTCTGAAGGAACAGTGAAACTATTATTGCTTAGGAATGTCAGTTGTCTGGCCACACAGACAAGAAGCTTTCTCCTAATGATATACCATCCCATAATATAGTATGCTGATGCTGCAACAGTTAATTTGTGATCAAACAATTTTAACAAGTGTATCTGTTTTCAAAAACTCACAAATTTAAAGCCCTAGGTAATTAATTCAATTATTTTATTCATCTTCCACACCTTTTCATTTTTCTTTTAAAAAAGCCCAGACCCTAGGAAATTCCATACAGACATTAATGTTAGTAGAACAGCAAAGTTAAATAATTAGGAACCTGAAGTCAGAGTGCAGAACTGCTTTTTCGTCTTTACATCTATTCCCATGTTTACATGTCACAGAAGACACTGAAAACAATAATTTCCTTTCCAAGTCTGGAGATCTTTGCCATTAAGATCTTTTGCTTTCCTGTCCTCAGTAAATGGTGGCTGGCACTGGTACAAATCCTGTTAAAACTGCAGTCCAAGATTTCAAAATTAAAAGTAATGCAGAAACTTTTTGCTCTTAACAGTGAATAATGTTTTAATCTGTTCAAGACATTGAGTAAGAGATTTCATAGCACTCATAATACTCCCATTAGGGAAAAGATAATAGGTGACATAAATCACAATGCTAATTCTCTCACTAAATGCACTACTGTTGGCTGTTAGTTTGGGTGGGATTCATCATACCTAGCTTATATCACCTACGAGTCAGATGTTAAACCCATATTAGTCATCCAGGCTCCCTTGGTAGTCAACAAAGAGAGATAAACATTTCTGAGGCAGCAATTCAGCCCTCTCATCTTAGATTTCTTATCATGGGTTCAAGAACTACTTCCTGGTATTGTTCACTTCTCACCAGTGAGAAGGACTTTTATAGGACTGGGTGCATATTCCTTAGGAGGTTAAAATATGTGGGATTAATCCGACTCTCAAATACTACTGTGATGAAAGCAGGATTGCAAACTTCAGTAGAACAGGCTAGTTAATCTCAGATCTGTGTGTTTGGGTGGGTTTGTAAGTGATTTTTGGCATCATTAGTTATTTTTAATTTGATTTGGACTTAACCAGATTTCAGCTCTAAACAAACATTAGGATTGGGGTTGATATATCACTTCCTATGTATCTTGCAAATACAAGTAATTTAACACAATTTCAAGGATACTTTATTCTTATTTGAGACTCCATCTAAGGGGAGAAGTCTAAGATAGTGTTCTTGCATTGTGCCTCTAAGGTGATGATTTTAGGAAATGGAACTCTAGTTATCTTCCATTCGAGCCATATTAAACAGGTGAAAAAGAAAACTCTGTTGAATAAATATAAATCACGGTGTTTAGCTAGATACCGAGTATCCTCTCAAAAAAAAATGTTCTTAAGTACACACTGAAATATTTTACAGGCAAAGTTTCAGGAACTAGAAAAAGAAATGGATTCTATTCTGTTAGAAATGAAGACAACAGAAAGGGAAATATATCTGCAAGATGATGCCATACAAGTGACAAAATATCACTGTGAAAATCTGGAGGCCCAAGTCAGAGCCCTGTATTCAGAAAATTTAAAGCTGAGGTGTGATGCAGAAACAGTACAAGAAGAGTTTGAGATGACATCTGCAAGAAATAATGAATATCGGGAAAAAATAAAGGCTCATAAACATCTCTTTTGGGAGATGGAAAGTAAAATGCCAGTTATGGTCGAGCTTGCTAAAAAGAAAGCTGTTGTTAAAGAATTAAAGACAAATAAAGAGGAGTTAATGTGTGATCTCCAGAATCCAGAAGGATCTGCTATAAAACAAGTGCAGGTACTGTATTTCCTCTTTGATTATTTTGTATGAAATAATTTTGGGATAGTTTAACTAATATGATTATTTTGTCTAATATGTTTACAAAACATGAGGGACTATGGGGAGTATAAATAATCTGAAATGCTTCATTAATTGAAGAAATGCAGTATGCAGTAAAAAAAAAATAAATACAGTCAGCCATTGTTATCTGCATATTATTGTAAAAGTCAGGTTTATACTGCGTGATCAAATGGACTCTGGGGATACCTGGATGCTCCACTCACTTCTCCTCTCCTAAGTGTTTGTATACAAATGCACACAGCATGGGGAATAAACAGGAAGAACTAGAGACCTGTGTGAGGTCGCAGTGCCACAACCTCATTGCGATCATGGAGACATGGTGGGACAGCTCGTATGATTGGAATCCTGTCATGAATGGGTATGTCCTCTTTAGGAAAGACAGGCCAGCAAGGTGGGGTGGTGGGGTTGCCCTTTATGTGAGAGAGCAACTAGAATGTATCCAGCTCCACCTAGAAATGGATGATGAAGGAGTGGAGAGCCTATGGGTGAAAATTAAGGGGCGGGCTAACACAGGTGACACTGTTGTGGGTGTTTACTATAGGCTGCTTTATCAGGTTGAGAAGGTGGATGAAACCTTCTACAGGAAGCTGAGAGTAGCCTCAAGATCACAGGCCCTGGTTCTCATGGGGGATTTCAATCACCCTGACATTTGTTGGAAAAGCAGCACAGCCAGGCACACGCAATCCAAGAGGTTCCTGCAAAGAGTAGAGGATAACTTCCTGACACAGGTGGTGGAAGAACCAACAAGGAGAGGTGTGATTCTGGACCTTGTTCTTACTAACAAGGAAGGGCTGGTTGGGGATGTGAAGGTTGGGGTCAGCCTGGGCTGCAGTGACCATGAGATGGTGGAGTTCAGGATCTCATGTGGAAGATGCAAGCCAATAAGTAAGGTTGCAACCCTGGACTTTATGAGAGCCAACTTCAACCTCTTCAAGGACCTACTTGGGGGCATCCCATGGACTAGAGTGTTGGAAGGTAAGGGGGCCCAAGAGAGTTGGTTAACGTTCAAGTACCACTTCCTCCAAGCCCAAGACCAGTGCATCCCTAGGAGAAAGAAATCAAGCAAGAGTGGCAGGAAACCTGCATGGATGAGCAAGGAGCTCATGGGAAAACTCAAAGGGAAGAGGAAGGTCTATGAAATGTGGAAAAAGGGTCTATCCACCTGGGAGGAATATAGGTATGTGGTCAGGGCCTGCAGGGATGCAACTAGGAAGGCTGTATCAGTGGATGTTGTCTACCTTGATTTCAGCAAGGCTTTTGATACTGTCCCCCACAACATCCTTGTAGCAAAGCTTAGAAGGTTTGGGGTGAATGGGATTGATGAGTGGGTGGTGAGGTGGATTGAGAACTGGCTGACTGGCCGAAGGTCAGTGATCAGTGGTGCAGAATCTAGTTGGAGGCCTACAACTAGTGGTGTTCCCCAGGGGTTTAAACCAAATTAAGACCACCAAAATGAGTTTAAATTCCTGTATTGTTGTAGTTCTTTGCATATTTCAAATCAAGAGTGTATCTTCTTAAGCACATAAAGCCATGTTATAAATTGTTTTAATTAGTAATTTTAAATAAAATTCTTAAATTATTACTAATTTAATTATTATTCATTATTCTAATGTGAAATTGTTTACTATATATCTTTATCTCATCTCTGTTAATGAAGTGAAAGTTAAAATGTGACCTTTTAAAGAAATTTAATAGATGTACTATTCAACTTTTTAAGGAGGAGATTTTTGTATCTTGACTTACATCCACAGGAAGAAATTACAGTTTTAAAAAGGGAAATCACCACATTGAAAGAATTAATTAATAAAAAAACAGATTTGCTGGAAGAAGAGGAAAAAAAACATGCTAAGCTTAGAAAAGAAATTGAGGTGAGTCATTTGAATAAAATATAATTATAGTTCTCCCAACAGAACATAGTGCAAATGAAGTTTGAAGTTCTTTATACACTGTTGCTGGCCATACATTAGTCAAGTATATACAGTAGCCATGCTATCTTAAATTCTTGGTACTGATAGTCCTTCTAAAATTCAGAACTTAATTGCTATAATGAGAAAAATTGAAGTTAAGAACATTTTTTCCTAAGTCTTTCAAGAAGGAGTTCAGCTGTGAACTTTTGGAATGATGTCTTGAAAAGAAAGGGGTCACTGAATGGTAGTAAAGCAAAAAGCACATTTTTTTATTTCTATAATACTTTTGAAATACTTTAAATTTCACTACTGACTTGATTATTCATGTCTTGTCTCATGGTTCCTGGTAACTCAAAAATGGAAGAATCAATTGAACCAAGAAAATGGACTTCCCATGAATCTCACTAATTTGAGCTGACATTAAATTAGGGATAACACAGCAGCTCCTAATTAGCTGTCAAGATAAAATTCTGATAAATAGTTAAAACCTTCTCTTTTTAAATAATTGAACTATATTTTAAATTTTGTTCCTTACTAAAATACTTTGTATGTCTAGATAGCTTTTAGTTTGGAAGTTTCATATCATTTATCTTGTTAGTTCAAATAAATGCACAAAATTTAATGAGCAAAGCTTGACAATAAAAAGATTTACTGATCTAAGTTAGCTGTATTGCCCATTGTAAAATGTAGGAGGAAAAGAGAATCATTTTTCATGTGATAGGGAAGAGCAGAGCATTTTTAAACTGAAAAGCAAAACATAGCCACTTTAGGTCTATGCTATTTAGCATCTGAGAAAATATTTTGTTATCAAGGCAACATCCTCCTAAGAAAGTTCTCTAAACCTAAAGTGCAATTAGGCAGCCTAAAAATAATGTTCTTTTCTATTATCAGAATTTAATTAAATAATGAAGCTTAACCTGTTCTTCAGTTGTTTGGACTCTACAATCTTTTTGCCTCAGAAAGAAGTAGGATTAAAATTTGAATATTTCAGGGTATCATTTTCTGTTAAGAGGTCTGTGAAAAACAATCTGTTTTTCAATATAAAAACTGACGATGGACAAGCAGAGACCTTAATATCCAGCAGTCCTCAACTTAACTCAGAAAAGAATACTAAAACCAAGCATGGAAATAAAGTGAGATACTAGACACATGGATGAAGTTCCATTGAGCTGCAGTGTTGGGATTACTTTGCCTCAGTATTATTTGTAGCTTCCCACAAAGATTTCCCGACTAAGCACATTCATAATGCTTTTCCAAATCAGCTGGATTTTGGAAAATTAAAAAATATTGATTAAATATATTTCTGCAAGGAAATTTATGCCGAAGTTTCATTTTTTCCAAGGTAAGTCAGTGATCTGACATTGCTAATTAATAAACCCTATGATTAATTCGTAACTGGGATGCTTCTTATCAGGCAGGGTACTGATGGACATGCAAGGCAGCTTGTAGACCTTGTCCCACTCCCTTTCCTTAGCACCAGTCCCACCACCCATCTCTTGAAGAGAGCAAGCTTGTTTCCAGCCTTGGACAGGGATGTCAATAATAAATCAGGGTAGTTATCTGTGTAGGGACAAGGCTTCAGTCATAAAGAATAATTCAAGACATCCACAAATAATAGAAAACAAGTTGTTATGTAGAAATAATAGGAAAAAGAAAGCTCAAAAGACTGTCTATTGCACTGCTGTCTTCTTTCCCCCACATCAGTGTGCAACTATATTATTCATGACAGATGCTTGTCTATCCTGTCCTTGAAGAACCCCAGTGTTGGAGATTCCAGTGCCCAGACAATTTTTTCTAATGGTTAACTTACATGTACACAAGGCCCAGTAAAGAGCAATGTTCCCCCTCCCTTCTGTCCAGTAGGCACATTAGTGCTCCCTGCCTCAGCAGATGTGCCAGGCACTTCCAAATAATGGTGCTAGAGACACATTTCTTAAAAAGGCAGATAATATTCACAGAACTTTCAGTATCGTACAACACAATCCTAGTGATGCTCAGATCCTGCAAGCACTCATTCAGATGAGTGAATCTGACAGCATCCCTCGAAAAGTTGTGAAGGATTATAGTGGAGAGACAGGCAACATTAAGACAACTGATCATCACTAAAAGAAGGCAATGCAATTTATAAAACATTAGTGAGGAAGTTACTTAGTTACATGTGAAATTTAGGCAACGAGACTCACAGGAAGTCACTGGCAATGCTGTAGTTCTGCTGCAGCTGTACATCATCATGTGTACATTAAATACAGTGTAATAACACTTCAACAAGCAGCAGCAATAATTATACACTACCACTCATACGCCATTCAAACCAGGGTAAGTAAGCCCAAATTTTCATTAAGTGAATAGCCATTATTTCCATTTTTATTACAATGAATGTTTCGTACTTTTACACTTCAGAATGCAAATCTGCAGAGGGTTGCCTGCAGCAGCTGTTCTCCATATAAACCAGCAATGAGGGCTAAATTGATACAGCACCCCATTGCTATAGTATTGCCTTTCTAAGACAAAATACACCTTTTTTAAGTGCAGTGCAACAGTGAAGGTGCTACTACAGCCACCTAAGTTACCTCATTTGTATTTTAATTTATACTCAAACACACTTGTCAAAGAAGGAAAATTTCTTCCTTTCTCATCTGTCACTCTGGAGCCTAAAATTTTCCATGTACAGTGTTGCCACAGCTGTGAGACGCTGACTCTGGGTGGGGTTTACTTTGTTAAGTATTAGACATGTCGAGGGCAGATACCCACACTGAACTCCTCACTCAAGCTCTTAGTGGGACAGAGCCTTTCTTTCCCTTAGTGGGAAAGAGAGATGTGATTCATGTAGTCCTAAAGCAGATATCTGAAATAAGACAGATGAATGGTTTCCTAGATGTCTCTGTACCTCTTCACTAGCTGTAAAGTGAATGTGGAATAACTTGGCCAAATGTCAGAATCTATACTTGAGAGTTAGGTGAGCTGAACCCACCTCTGTAAATAGTTTTACTTTAAAGAAATTTTGAAGTGAATTTTATTCTATTTTATTAGGTACAGAATAAAAGATATGATGCTATTCTAAAACGTTTGCACTGCCAACTGAACAAACTCCATTCAAATAAAAGACAGTGGCACTGGAACATTCAGCAGTTGGAGAAGAAGGCAGCAGAACTAAGGAAGTGTCTTGGAGTAGTGGAGATACAAAGTAGCATGTAAAACAAATGTCACAAAGCTACCATGCTGGTAATATTTTCCAGACAGGGGAAGTTTTTTGTTTTTTTTTCTGTAAATGCTACAAATAGGAAAATAGCCCAATAGGCCAAGGCTCAGTGATTTCTCTCTTTTTAAAGTTATTCTCCATTTCATTCTGTGGCCTAAACTAGGCTGTGCTCAGTCTGTAATACTTTGGAATAACTTTGGTTTTCTTTTTACTGTAGCCAGAGGCTATTCAGGAAGAAAGTTAGTAACATTTCCAGATGTTTCCAAAACATGTGCCAGTTTTATCTAGAAGGTCACTTAAAGTCAACCAAACAAGATTTGAGGAGTTCCTTTTTATTTTATTAGATCTCTGAAGATTGAGATCTACATTGTTTTTCTGACAGAGAAATTAGTATCAGTGTATATTTGCATTCTTGAGATGTAAAAATTACAGATCTTTTATTGACATCCCTTATTATTGCAACCTACTGAGGAACTCTGAAAGCTCTGCTGGCCTGTATTTTGCCATCTGAGAAATTCATATAGATGATGTTACAGCCTGTTTGCCCTGTATCTGCCAGGATGTCAGCATGGAGGACAAGGCAGACACAGGCTGTCCAGCTATAAAAGGCATAGGAACAAGTACGCTTAGAACTGGGCTTCCAATAATCTGACTTCAACTGGTCTAGTGCATGTTAGCAAAGAGGAATGAGTAGGTAAAGAGTGGGCTGCATCTGGACATCTTTTGAAATAGAACAACTCACCCTCTAGAAATAGGAATGCATTATAGATGATTGATTATAGAGGAGCTTACTGTGTACAGGATCTTAGCTAACTAGAACTAGCTATCTAACATCTACGTGCTTAATTTTTGGTAAGATGACTCTTAACATAAATGACAACCTATTAAAAATTCTTGTTAAAATAGTAGTGAACAGTAGACATTTTTCTTTGCCTTCTTTTTATGATGTGCTTGGCATTTGAGGAATTTCCAGTGCTTTCTCTGTTCTTACACTTAAGGTCATAGTTCTGACTGGACATAACCTGTAACATTTATCTGTTCTATGGAAGTAGCTTTTTATTTGAAGAGTTGTCTTGAATAATATAGATTTATCTTTACTCCTGAATATAAAATAAAGATTTAAGCAAATTGAGTATTTACTGTGGAAAATGTTAAACTGCCTATATATTGTTAGCTTAGGAAAGCAAAGTTTAAAATGCAATGCTATTATTACTTGTGCTAGAACATTCATATATTCATGTATATTTGCATTTCCCCTAATATGTTATTTCATGTGTTATAAAGTTATTTTAAGCAATACACTGACTCATGAAGGCTCTCTCAACATCGTTAGGCTCTCAAGTTTGTTTGGCTTGGTCTTTTTCCTTTGCAATATTATCAACCAAACTACTTTCAATAAAACAATAATGTAGGAATGAAAACCTCGATATCCTATGCTACAGTAACAGTAATGTGATACAAATAATTTGCTGGATTAAAACTTTTCTAACCCAATTTATTTTAAAAGAAAACAAAGACATCTTAAAACTAACCCCTAATCTTAACTGCCTTTCTGTTCTGAACTGACTCACACATTCATGAGTCCAGAAAGCACGAAACAAACATTTTTATAAAGCATATAATAGTACATTAGTGTAACATTACAACTGTTTATCCCTACACACAGCAAAACAGCTTGCATTTGATGAACGTGTATCTTCTAGAAAAGGATCCAGACTTTAAAAATGGGAGACTTTCCTGTGTTACTGGCAGTGTCAGTGATTAACTGCTCTTCCTGATTTTTTTGCATAATTTCTAATTTCAATTCATTCAGCCATCTGGCGAAATGAGTGTGCTTTATATCAGGTAGTTTCTCCCCATAACAGCACTTAAACACTGTCTTCTTGTTGAACTATATAGATCAAGCCTTCCTATAGATCAAAGTTATTGACTATCAGATCTGACCAAGAGCTTTAGCTTAAGAGCTGCCCCCCAAAGTGCTATAACATCCAAAATTCTCAGGGTATTAGGACTGTGTGCCCTTTAATGTCCCTTTTACCACTGATATTGTCTTGTTTTCATATTTAGTTTCTAATTGTTTCTGAACCAGAACAATTAATGCATCAAGATATGTTTTGCATCAGCTACACAAATGATTTCAACCAAATTTACTTTGAGACTTATTATCATGGTTATAATATATAACAATTTAACCTTGTACTTTGTTACCAGTTGAAAACAACTCTAGTAAAAATCCAAACCTTCTCATGTTACAAATATATCACACCTTTATTTTTTTTGACCAATGAAGACATTCATTATTACTTCTCCGGGTACTAAGGCAGTTCTATGTGCCAATACACATACAGCATGATTCACTCATACCAAGTAAATACCCTGGACCTACATTTTCCTTGTTCCTTTCCATAAATCTCAGTAAGTTTCATTATCTCAGATTACTTTTATGGTTTTTTTGTACGTGTTTCGAAATTGTTTAATACAATTTATTATAATAAAGGTGAATACAAGAGCTGTATGTAGTACTCCCATTAGTGCTATATGCAGAGGAAATATTCCCTTCTACACAGAGGCCCTCCTGTCATCCAAGGGCCCAAGTTGTCTAATACTCCTTTTTTGCTCTGTACTTTGCAAGAGAGTTCATGTTCTTGCCAACTGGGGCCCTTGACCCCTTCGAGGGATCTCAGCTCTCAAAGGTGTGTTCCTCCTTTTTCCAAGTATAAAACTTGCTTTTTTAATATGCATATTTAAATGGACTAAACTTATCTCAGTTGTGTCTCAAATACTTTGGTAACTACAGAGGATTCCCCTACAGCTGGTAATAACTGCACTCCACATCAGAAAGAGCCCTGGCCATTTGTGATTCCCTCCAATTCACTTGCTGATTTTCCCCAGAAGAAACTCAGCTGTGCAGGACAGAAGGAGTTGCTGCATGGTTTAACTGTGCATGGTATCCCCATATGAATGGTGGGAGCTTTGGAAATTGAAGTACACCTCAGCTTCTCAGCTTTCCTGACACAAAATATAGCTATACTTCAAGTATTTAATGTGTCTCTGCTATGTATAACTGTTCTGCTCTCATTTAATGAAGAAATTATGCTAGAGCTAAGTTTATCTTTAATTCCACGTCAAAGAAAAATACTAATGTTGGTCATAATACCAGTACCTATGGAATTCTATGAATACCCCCTTCACATGTTGTAGTTTCCTTAACAATTATCTGTGGAAATGTGTTAGCTAGTCCTTAATCCATTTTACTTATGCTTTACTGGCTATATAAATCATGAACTCTTTAATATAAATGTTGTTTAGTACAAAATCCACTATGTTGCAAAAAGTCTGTTCCATCTCTGAAATAATTTTTTATAAGATACTGACTCTATTACTGTCATCCCACATCACTGTCCTAATTAAATGCCACAATTATAAACTCTCATCCCACATAAACATACTATTTGTGTTTTTAACTCAACTGCCTTGACACTGAGTTGATTCATCTCTAATCTTTAAAGCTTTAATTGTCCTCAGTCACCACCAAACTTGTAGAATTTTAGTCACTGAGTACACTTGAAATCTGTATTTAGTTTTTTCCTTTGCTAAACACCACATTTTACAGGATCAATTACATTTTGCACACTTCTGATTAAACAGAACTTCGCATCGTACAGTATTTACATATTTTCCCAGGTGCAGCATTACAAGTTTTGCATTCATTATTTAACAGATAAAAAATACAAGAAATGCATAAACATTTTACTAGTGATTTGTAGTTAATCGGGAGAAAAAACTCATCTGTGAAAAAAAAAAATCATCTGAAACAAGGAAATAAAGGAGAAAAAACTCATCTGTGAAAAGAAAAAAAAAAAATCATCTGAAACAAGGAAATAAAAATTACCACCTTCTCTAAACCATCAGCATTCTGTACAACACAGAAAAAGAAATGTATGTAGCTTTTTATTAAAATGCCTAATTTCAACAAATTCTGGCGACCTGCTGAGTCTGATTTTTCTTGGTACAATGTTGAAGAGTAGTAGGTTGATCTCAGGGCATTTTTTCCCTTAGAAAGCAAGCACAGACAGTAAGACAATGATTTATGATTTTCAGGGAATAACTCAGTGAATACACTTTGTGTTCTCATTACATGAGGCTCTCCCAGCTGCTGCAGAAGTGTGCTGCCAAATCCATATCAATAATTTCTGAGGATGAGTGTGGGTCTAAGGGAAGAAATTCTGGCTTCAGTGCTCTGCGAGCAACAGGAAGAGGAGTGACTGCTCACTCTGAACAGCAAAACACACAGCAAGCAGAAACGGACATGTAAATAGAGTGTGGAAAAACTTACCAGCTAATGAGTCCTACCCACTGCTTAGCAGAAGTTTGAAGCACAGGAACCTGGATTTATTCCAACAACATAGTTTAAATAAGTAGGAACCTACTGGGGGAACTCCGCACTTGACAGGGAAACAATACAGCCTTTGGGTCACGTCATGTGATGCAGCAAGTGCACTGATGGGTGCTAAAGGGCAGGATTTCCCCATGCTGTGAGCTGACGCTCCACACGAAACCCTTTCACGTGACCCAACGACCTCAGATGCTGAAGCAGAGGAAATGTGTCAGATAATACAGACATACCTGCTAAGATCCTTGCTCCCATCAAGGCTACATGCGATACACAGCAGAAGAGGGAAATTGGACTGGGGATAGAGACCAATGTTATGCTGCTTTGCTTCTGTTGGGGAGTTTGCTTTGGCCCTCAGCAGAGTCAGTTGTAGAGATCTGTGTGCATGACTGTGACAGTAAGTAATGCATGCTGTTCTACTATGGTTCCTGCATGATGCTTCAGAGGAAGAAGAAATCATGGCCACACTGTGTATCTATGGTATGTCCTGCTGCTGAAAGTGAAGAAAACCCCAACTTGCAGAACTCTGACCCAATTTTCTGAAGTGCATTAATATATCGTTATCAAAGTAATTATTAGATCCTTTGTTAAAATGTGACTGCA